ACGTTTTGTGAGAATTTTATTGGAAAATATTCATGGAAAATTTATGAAATAATTTTGCCTACTCCCACGCCTGACAATTTTAAATATCAACATCCCGTCACCTCCACATTCCTTAGGAATGAGTATCTGTAATTTTTTGAAATATTAACATCGACTATTCCACGTTATAATTCATGAATGTTATATTACATAAATGTTTTGTGAGAATTTTATTGGAAAATATTCATGGAAAATTTATGAAATAATTTTGCCTACTCTCACGCCTGACAATTTTAAATATCAACATCCCGTCACCTCCACATTCCTTAGGAATGAGTATCTGTAATTTTTTGAAATATTAACATCGACTATTCGACGTTACAATTCATGAATGTTATATTACATAAATGTTTTGTGAGAATTTTATTGGAAAATATTCATGGAAATAAAAACATCGAATAAAAAAAGAAATTACAAAAAATGTTGTATATTCCGAAGTTCTGTAATTATCACATTACAATAAATCCAAATTCTACGATATGATACGCTGGCATATATAATAAAAGTATATAATAAAAAGAGAGTAATAAATATATAGAAATACAAGGCTTGCAGAATTATATTACGGAGCATAATTGTCTAAAATTTCCTTCATAATCGGCCTGCTGAAAGATATTTTGCAAAGTTGCACCTTTACTTTTTAATACAGCACCCACGCAATCCCCTTTAAGCAGTTCTGAAACGTCGATCTTTTCTCTTCATATTTGCCCGAAGTTTCAGGTGTTAGAAACATGTTCCTGAAGTATTAGATTGAATTTCGAAAAATTCGCAAAGTTATGCGAATTGAAAAGTAACCGTGCTCTGGCAAAAGTTGGAGAACCACGGCACATGCAAAGCATTTGCTTGCCGGTTCCCGTACAAACGTGACTCGGTTTACCTTTTTTCCTCGTTCTCCGCTTGCGTAAGACGTGATATCGTTAAAATAATCACTGAATTTCAATAGCAAGCTGTGCTACAGTCCTGCCAGGATGAAATCGTCGCTTGACGCGTTCTCGCTTCGATATCATTTTTCTCGGAACACCTTTTTGACCGACGTCACTAAAAACTTTGACACTAATTAATCAACTTTCGCGAATTTTGGTACGGTCACTCGCAGAAGTTATTCGCACTGCTTTGATCGCTGACCATAAAATATAGATCCATATTTTTCAAATAAAATAAAGTGTGTAATATAGTGGTGTCCTTATCTATGAATGTATAATTAATATGAAATTATTTAAAAAATTGGCTTCATAAGTTGAAGGATAAATTTGGTCTCATTTGTTTTATTCTATCTACTAGATTCATCTTTATTTTTACATTTATTCTATTTCAATACTATTAATATAACCGCACTGTATTAATTAATAATTAAAAATAGTGCGTCTAGTAAAAGCAAAACGAATGAAACCTAACTTAATTCTTCGATCGTCTGACTCACGATGAGAATTTTTGTTACGTATCATATTTACGTAAAGTGTTCGAATGATTAATAAAGAAAGAAACATATCTAAACTATAACTAACATATCTAAACATATCTAAACTGTATTGTAGCGATAAGTAGCAAGATAGGTAACGTCATTAAAAATTGAAAAAGATATCTTACCATGACCTGGCAACATTTTTAATATGCAACACATTAAATTATTAAAATCTTCTTTTGGAGAAGCCTGTAGACGTTGTTGTGGGAGATGGACGATAATCCCAGAGAGTGTTAACTCGCGACTGCCAATCCCCACCAGAGTTCCTCTCGCGTCGGTATTGTTCTTTCGAACGTGATCACAGCCTACGTCACAATTTCAGATACAATGCACGTGTACGGACAACGACGACGGTGACGCCGTCCAGCGTTAAACAATGACGCGGTCGCCCGACGACCGTAAATGCATCAGCATAAATCGTTCGTTCGACGGAGCCATCGAGCGGTGAAAAAGGAATGGCCCCGCGGGAACAAAGGCTGCTGAATATATTTTAAGGGAAAAACGGTGGATTAGGCCAGCCCGTCGCGCGGGAACAATAATGGCGCCAAGTCCATGGGAACCGTATCAGTATTGGCCAGCCTAAAACCGTGATTGCAGGTGTATTTTACGAGTATCGTTTAGGGGAAGCCGTATCTAAGACGATCCGTAAAAAGGGACATAATTGAATTTTTTCGGGGATGAATGGACAATTTTTCTGGTAACGAGTCTCACGGTATTCGAAACTTTCGAACGGACCAATCACAGAGCTTGAGTAGCGCGCGCGATTCGGGCACTGTGATTGGTCCGTGGTTTTTTGTTAATAATTCAAAAACGAAGCGCCACTCGACATTCTCGCAAAGGAAGTTGTGGTTCAGAATCGTCTCACCCCTTTCCGGTTCTTACACTAATTCTGGGGCACCCTGTATATATCCCTACATAGATTTCAACAGTTACACTATCTACTTTAATATTGTAGAATTATTTTTTACCTTACTTTTCTTTCAAGGTGCTTCAAGTAATGCAACTAACACAACTTTCACAATGAATAACTCATGTCCCATAATCGATCCCAGAACACACGTGACTGTTTATTACTCCGAAGACCAAATCGGACCTCGATCGAAGACCAATCGAATTCTTCAATTTTCGATCGTTCCAAAAATCTGCAATATTTTATAGAAACGGTTAGTCCAAAGATCAAATCGAACCAGTATTCCTTAATTATCTACCGTTTCAAAAATCTGCAGAATTCCATAGAACCGGTTGATGGAAAGCGAGGATTACGTTCTTTATCGGTCGTTATTTTCACGCGACAGTCAAAACGCCGAAAGAATCGAAGACTAACGACCGAACCGGGGCAACAGATACAACTTTAACGGCGTTGTTCTTGCTCCAGCGCGGAAAAAGTTCCGCCAAACCTATTCCGACGTGTAACCACTGGAACGTGCCGGGCAAATTAATTACAAATTAACTGGAACAAAGGGAGGCTGACGGGCGGCCGCGGGGACGGGGGACGGATTGTTCCCACTTGAAAATGGAGTAAAAACAAAACGGACGAGATAAAGCGAGGGCAATTCGATGCGCTTTTACCCGCGAGTTCGAATGGTCTGGACAACACCGTTACCGTTACCGCGGACTATGCGCCATTATTGTTTGCACGCAACGGGCTGGCCAACCCTAATCCGCCGTTTTAGCCCTTAAAAAATGGAAAAGCTCC